CGACGCGCAAATGCGCATCAAGGAAGGCCATGTCATAAACAGAGATGACGTGCATTTACGACACTCATTTACGACGCGCAATTACGACGCACGTTTACGACACGCAATGCGTATCAAGGAAGCCCCTATCATAAAGGAAGACGACACGCATTCGCGTGTCGCAACCTTATGACGCGCGTGTTAATGGCACGCAATACGTATCAAGAAAGCCCCTGTCAAGAAGGGCCATGTCATAAATGAAGATGACACACAGTTTTGTGTATCATAATTTTAAATGTTTAAAAGAAATATTATTTATAGATTTACTAATTTTCAAATTAAATTTGTATTAATGTCTCATAATAGAAAATTAAATATCACATACAAAAAAATACAATCCATTGTATAAAATTTAATGTCATACAAATAATCGTTCCATGTAAAGATAAAACAAATCAATAGTTGTAACAAAATTTAATGCCATACATTGTTATTAAGGGGTTTTCCCTAACTATATAACCTGATACTATATCCCTAACTATATAATCTGATCCTTCATGCCATTAGTTTGCCACCTGGTGTACTACGTAAAATGTTGAACTTGGTGCCATGGGCGGCTGCCCACCGGGCGTGGCTGGAAAGTAATTACTTGCTGATAAGATAACAATGCTTTAATCCAAGACGAGTCAAGAATGCCTAAGAAAAAGAATCAACTAAACAAACAAAATCTTGATTGGATTTTTGTTAGTGTAAGAAGTTAAAGGTACAACCCTTTAAAAGGCAGCTGGTCTCCCAAGTGTGAGGAATGGAGGCCTATGATCCATTGTCACCTAAAACAAAAAAATTCCTGTTAGAAAAAAACTTCACCTTTATTTATTAGTTTTCCCTCCACCACTGTAGGCATGCTTCAAATTCGTTAGATCAATGTTGTCTAAACTGTTAGACAACAATGAGTTTCCAAGTAATCCTAAAAATCAAAGTAATGCTTCAAACTCTTCTCAGTTTTGTTAGAAACAAACTTTCTGTGGAAGATCTTTATGCCAAATACATTGAATTCATGGGGGAGGGAAATATTCAAGCCCAAGTGTTAGAAGGAAAAAATGACACCCTGTCAAAAAGAAAGAAAATATGTCTAAGTTGATTTCAATCTATCCCAATTTTCATTGATCAAACATTCAACTTTCATAGATTCAATTCAAATCAAAAATACACCTCAACAGCCAAATAACAAATGGATCCAACAGTGAAGCTAGTCCATTAGCAAAGCAAAATCCTGGAGATAATTTGAAGAAATTCTGGTCTAATATGTTTAAAATTTCATAAAACCCAAATTCACTAATGAAAATGCAGATCTATATTGGTAAGTTACTATGCATTCCAACCTTGAGAAAAAGGTTAGGCAATATGTTGAAGATGCAGTTGCAAAACCATATTCCAGCAGAATAAGAACTATAGGGAATATAACACCATTTCCAATAAACTGTTCTGAGCCTACAAAGATAGAACAATGTTAAACATAGTTCATTAAAGATGTAAAATACTTCCAATAAACTGTTCCATGCCTACAAAAAAAGGTTTCTACATACAGATACTATTGATGTAAATACTTACAATATACCTTCGAAAATGCATGTAAAATGTGAGTTTGGAGACTTACCAAAGATGTAAAAGAGAATGATTGCAAATAAGGAAGGGATTAAGAAGCTTATGATGTCCTATATATGTGTTGACACCCAATATGACAATATAGATACCCGAGTATTAGTAATGATAACCAGTTAATGGTCAAACTGTGAATCACTTATTGGTTATACATTGTTGTGTTAACAAAATAAAAGCGTAAAGAAAACAAACAAGTTTGCTTACCCCACTAATTAGTTGTTGATGTTTCACTTTTACTTCATGCTCCTGCATAAGACATGCATTACGTTAAAATACAAGAAAAATATTCCCATTAACTAACTGTTTACAGGAAACCCAAATTAGTTTACCTAAAATGACCAATAAGTTATAAATCCTTGATCAAGAAATTCTTGCGTATTGCATAAAATGTTTATTGTTGGATTAACTGAGGGGCGTTAAAATAATTGGGTCAATTATGTGAAAAAGACAACTAGAGAGTGGCATACCTTCACAATAGGAACAACAAATGAAGCACGAATGAAATCACTATTTAAATACACAACAATAGTTAAAGAGAATGCATCCAGGTCCTACAAGATCATACAAATTGCTATTTAAATACATACTACATATAAAGGTGTCAATATTCTTATTGTATGTTATCCTAGAAAAAATTATAAGATATGAGTATAAATAGAAGAATAATTGGAAGTATATGTATACTTGATGTTGCAGGTGTTGACTTTCTGTCATTGGCATTGGATGATTACGTGTTTGTATGGTCATATTCCCATTATGTGTAGCAAGCCTAAGAATTACATCATTCATTAAATTGACAAAGGTTGGAGCAGCATGCTGACAAGTGTTGTTGGGAAGAACCGAATATCCTATACTACCATCATCATTCTGAGGATCCATCACAATAACCCCGTATCTTGACTCATAAGATTCATTGAAGCTGAACATCAATAGCATCTTACAATACCTTACTAGGATCAGGAAATGTGTATGTGCTTTCTTTAAACTTTTGAATCCAACACCCTTCTATATATTGTGAAACCTGTTTAGCAATAGGCAATGAAAGATCAAAAGGAATAGGACCACCACCACCTTCACCGCTAAGTAGTGGATTAAAGTTGGAAGTTGTGAAGGTTATGGAGGGTTGATCAGGATGTGCCAACCTAAAGCAACAGATCAAAAGAGCCCAATTAAGCAACCATACAAGCTCATGTTGTAAAATTTAAGTAAAATCTGAGAAATTACTTCGCTCACGCATGTTGCTGATGAAATATGTTTGTAGATATACATAATTAACTTTACATTTTTATTTATTTCAATACATATATATATATATATATATATATATATATATATATATATATATATATTCTAGAAGGGGTAATTCAGTAAAAGACAAGTAATCAGTTTGTTTTTCTGTTGAGGGCAAATCTGATATTTATGTTTTTGTGCATACATTATGTTTTTTTAGTACATATACACACAAAAAAAATTTAAACCAAAGAAACAAAAATCAAAACGTATGTGTATATTATTAAAGAAGAAACAAAAGCAAAAAAAAAATGAAAAAATTTGACAATTATGCATATATATGGATGTGTATGTGTGTGTATTAGGCATAAGGCATTCCCAATTCCTCCCCCCCCCCCCCAAAAAAAAAAAAAAAAAACTACTGTGGAATCAGCAAAAAAACAACAAATTATGTATATGCAAATTACAAATCATTAATCCCAGCTTTTACACATAAGGTAGACAACAGAAAAACAACAATTATAACAGTTGTTGACTATATGATAATACCTAATCACTCTCTTGAAATCAACAAAAAAAAAAGTACCTGAATTTAACTTTTGGAGATGGAACGGGGAACTTATAAAGTTTTGGTTATGAACTCACCACCAGCTTTCCTGTATGTATAATAACTTAAAATCCCATGAAGAGCAAAGTAATTATCTATTGTTATTAGTAAAAGTAACTTACAAAAAAAAACAAAAAAAACTTACTGTTAAAATTTGAGTAGACATCTGGATTCCAACCAATCAACTGCGACATCAGACAAGAAGTTGAGTTCTAGAGATGTCTGATGAAATAATTGTCTAGCAATTTCCTGAAATAACAAAAAAAAAACTTACTATTAAAATTTTATTCATAGATGAACCAGGGAGGGTTGTGCCATTTTGGAAAACATCAGTTCGTGCTCTATACATAATTGTCTAGCAATTTCCTGAAATGGATATGAAATAAGCTCAAATGAAGAAAAATCTGAGAAAAAGACAAATGGATTACTTGTGTTGATGTAACTACATGGGCCGTAACAACTGGAGAGTTGCGTAAAAACCTATGTAGAGTTAAAAGTTTCTTAATCATGATACTATTGAAATATCCCATAAGCATAAGCAATCTGATAAAATATTAAAGCTTGCCATATTCCTTTAGAGATGTTATGTGTAGAACAGATAGACAAAATAAGCACATACCTGCTTTTCTTTTTAAAGGCAAGCTAAACCCCAAGCCAATACCTTTCTAAAACCACCTCTTGCTGAAAAAATTCAAAAATAAGGAAACAAATGACAAAAAAACACCCTCAGAAAACCCCCAAGTATAACATTAAGCATATCATTTCCTTACGAGTCAAAACCATTTTTTGTGTCATTGTGTGAAGAGCTTTTTCTTAAAATTCAACTATTTTTGTTGCATGCACCATTCAGGAAAAAAATGGCAGCCTAGCAACACTTGTACCTGCAACACCACCCATAGGTGCAATGAAGCCTGAACTAGGTTTGGAGTTTTTCCCTGATTTCTTGTTTAACTTTTATGGAAGAATCTGTAGCCTTGGATTGAGGTCAGTGCCCGAGTTTTCTACATCCAATTATTTCGCTATAGAAACTAATGCCAATTCATTGGAGCAAACATTTCAATTCAATGCTCTAACAATTTACCAAACAAGAATATAACAAAACTAATGCTAAGATAAGATCTGATCTATTATATATGAGAACATCAAAATTTTGTAGCACCACAAGGAGACAAATGGTAATTGGTGTATCTTATTTCAGATACAGGCCATACAATTGTTGTCTCTGTTATAAGAAAATTCTGGTTGTCCTGCAATTCAATGGACATTCAAGAAGATTATGGATGTCAAATACTAAAGAATAATAAGAGATTCCTAACTAAAAAAAATAACAAAATTTACCTGTTCATTATTCTGAAAAATAGAATCAAGTTCACGAGTTGGAGCTAAAACTAACATAATTTGTCCATCTCCAAGAGCTGAAAAAGAATTATATATTAGCTGAAAAACTTGAAATTAAAAGGTTGAAAAGAAAAAAGGGTATTAGCCCAACCTCCTCCCCCTGTCCCACCTTCAGTAGGACTTTGAATACAATTCCTTTGTTTTCAATTTTATATCTTTTTTACTTCAATTTTATATCTTTTCATTCAAGAACAAGCTCATTAACACATCACCTGCATATACAATTGAATTCATTATAATAAAATTAGAAATCATATTAATTATACATGTTTTACACACTTCTTAATGATGAAAAATAATAGTTTATGTTCTAAAGGCAATCATATCTTCCTCTGAGGAATTTAATAGATTCCAAATAATTTTACAAAATAAAAATAATTAAAGAGAAAATTAACCTTCAGCCTCCATGTCAAAAACTTCACCAAATAACCTAGTCCGCTTTTATGTACACACATAGAGAAACCAGCACGAGGTCCAGGTGGCATTCCACCTTTCTTTACCTAAAACCAGATAAAGTTTAAATAAAATATAAGTTATTCACCTCCTGAAAATGACATAGGACTAAATTTACCTCCTGACAATGACATGGGACTGAATTCACCTTCTGACAATGACATACGACTGAATTCACCAGCACGAGGTCCAGGTGGCACACAGTCCACTTTTTATTTAAAAGACCAAAATACCCTCGATGTTCACCTCCAGACAATGACATAGGACTAAATTTTCCATCACTTGATATGGCAGAATATAAAGAAGATGAAGACTGATATTGATTGAAAAAGATATTTAATGACCATGTGGTACCCGCCTTTGACATTTGATCTTTGAAGAACCGCAACTTTCGTGCCATTTCTCCACATCTTTTGATCTTCACAACAGAGGCAAAATAAATAAAGCAATAATCAATACATTACTTACAATCTCTTTTTCAATCAATATCAGTTTTAAAGATTAGAATGCAAAAATCAACTTCCAAGTCAATTGTATCTCTTATTTGGGAATCACAAAGTAACAATAACTTGTTTTTGAAGCTTGAAGCAGATTTAAACGGGTATAGCTGAAGAAGATGCTTATTTCAGAGTAAATTAACGACCATTTTACCCTTCTGTATAAAAATTGGGTATCATGAGAAGTTGAATATAAAGCCAACCTCCATCCTGGTAAGTCATAAATGCAGCCATCAATTCATATGAGTTTTTGAATCATGAATATATAGAGAAATTGTACAAGTTATAATCAAGAAAAATTGACAAGTTTAGTGATTATTAAACCTGATGAACAGTAACTTGGACACCAATCTCTACACTTGAGCCAATCAAAAGCACAGAGGCAGCCCAGATGAACTCTTATGAGGATAAACATATAAATTTGATAAAACCACAGAATGTATAAACTCTAAATACATTTGTTTACCAATCCTACATCATAACGAAATTTATGAAAAGATTAACTGGTAAAAAGATGTATCGATGAAAGAGATGCTAATAAAACCTCAAAATTTGGTAGAGTTCATACAAGTCAGCCACCAAGTGATTATAAAATTGATTTTAGGGATGCCATTCTTCAAATTACCTGCCCTATAAATGAAAAAAAAACCCTAATATCAGGGAAGACAGAGAGAGAGAGAGTCAAAACGTAACCTGAATGTTCAAGTGGTTAGATCAACCTGTCTTTTTCCATCCTCATCCCTGTTTAGAGAGATGTGCTTGAAATTTCACAAAAATATAGGGTTAGAAAACCTTGGACGACCTAATTCAATTGTGGACTTGATTTTTTGCTAATAAAATCGCATAATAGGGATGTGAATGTGTATCTGCTGGAATCTCTCCAATCTTCCTTCCCTTAATTCTATCGTCGTCTTTGTCTGCGTGAAGAGCCGAAAATCCGTAAGTCCCAAAGAAGTGCGAGGGAAGAAGAAGTAGCGGCAGTCAATGTCAGGAGGGGGAAGGAAGGAGCGTAGATAATTAGGACGGAAATGATAAAAAAATGAAGGCAGGGTTTTTAATTTTTAAGGATTTCATTTTCCCCCTGGTTATTAAACGGTGAAACGCGCGTTCCATTAAAATTTATAAAGCGACATCCTTAGACGACACGTATTTTATTATAGGTGCCTTCCGTGTTCCTTTTTAGACACTAATTTAAGGGCACGCAATAATGCGTAACATAAATCCTTAAAATTTTTGAAGAGATGACACTTTTTTAATGTCAATCTCTATTGCGTAACATCAATCAATGAGTGTCGTGGTTTGCGCGTTGTAAAAGGGTATTTTTCTTGTAGTGAATTATAAGTTGCTTGGAATTTATTAGAAAATACATAATGAAGAATCTTGTTATTGTCCAAAAGACAATTGACAAATGTTTTAGCCCACTAACTCCTACAGCTACCAAGACTCTAGAGAAGATCAAAGGTGAAGTTGCAAAGTATATGGTTATGTTTTGTGGAAATAAGAAGTATCAGGTTACAGGTGGTGAAGGTGTGGACCAATGTGTAGTTGACATAACACAACATACATGCTCGTGTAACAAGTGGGAGGTCACTGGCATACCATGCAATCACACAATTGCAACTATATGGGATATGAGGAGAAATAATGAGAATATTGGGATACCTGAAACATGGGTTCACCCAACATCCTGATTAAAAACATGGCAAGATATGTATGCCTTTAAAATTGAACCAATTAATAGGAGGATGATGTGGGCAAAAAGTCATTTTCCAACAAAGTTACTACCACCAAAACATCATGTGCCTATTGGTAGGCCAAAAAAGAAAAGAAGAAGATTTGTTACTGAAGATGATAGTGCTACAGGACCAGAACAGTTAGGTGTTCAAAGTGTGGAAATGTTGGGCATAATGGTAGGAGCTGCAAGGGGCGGACAGTGGGAGGATTACAGGCTAGTGGTAGTGATGTGGGACAGAATGTTGGTATGGGACAGAACTCAGGTGTTGTGAAGAAGGGAAAAAGTCTGATGGTTTAGTGTTTGTGTATTACTTTCTTGTCTTTTGGTTGGCTAATGCTTTTGATGTACTCGAAACAATGTTCTTTCATGTCTTTTGGGTATGTAATTTCAGTTTGAACTAATGTTGTGCTACTTCTTTAACTATGATGGTGATGTACTTCTAACTATGTTGACTTTATGAATGTTTCTAATGGTTTGAGTGACTTAATGATTAATTAGGTTGTTAATGTATGAATCCATGTTCGTAATGGTTTGATGACTTAATGGTATGATATAAATTGTTGTTTTGGTATGGATACTAAATGGTATAATATAAATTGTTGTTTTGGTATGAATACTTTGGTATGAATACATGTTTGGCAATTACCAAATTTTCATTAACATGCAAACTGATACATCCAACTTGAGTTTGTACAACTAAAAGGTAAACGTATACGATAACTTATCCTACACTTTGTATACTAGAATTGACACAAACAGAAAACAACTAATAGCTAGATACAACTTCAATTTCAGATTTTGTTGTTCAAGCTTCATCCTAATGTTCATACAAGCACATTTCTGATCCTCCACCACCCAACCAATGAATTTGCAACCACCAGCCTGTAAAATAAGTGTAGAAACATTTAACAATGCTAAAATTTACAGAAAATAGGAGAAATTACGAGATTAGGTTATATTTATCAAGAAATCGAAATTAACCGGGTTAGAACAAGCATAATAACGTTTTCCAGGGTTGTTCTTGCTACATGAGGTACAAATCATAGCTTCAGCTCCATAATTGCATCTAATTGCCATTTTTGTTGGTTAGAGAAGGGTAATCGAAGAACGAAAGGGGGGAAAGTAATGAGGAAGAAGACCGACGAAGATAAATGAAAGCAAGGGAGGGGTAACAACTCTGATAGGGGCAAACAAGATGAAATGACAAAAATACCCCTACATGCAAGGCACATGGGACACCCAAACGGAGAAAACTAACGTCTAACGAAAATACGGACTTGGCGGGTAGTATTCAAATACATGAGGGACGGTCCGAGTTAATTTTCAAAAATAGAGACTGAACGTGCAATTTGACACTTTGACCAGGGACGATTCGTGTAATTTACTCTATTTTTTTATATTTTTTGAAAAAAGAAAATAATTCTAATTATTTTGTATAATTGATTTTTCCCTAATAAAATTTCAACTTTCATTTTTGATAGGACACATGAGTTAATTAATTAAAAATAAATGTCCAACTTGTTATGAGTGTACCAAACATGTTGGTGGGGTTTATGAAAATTTTCATTTTTTTAATATATTTTGGCCAAATGATTTCTCAATAGTGAGGAATCGAAGTAGTCTAAGGATGATAGTTAAATAGTTTAAATGTGTAATTTGATAAAAATAAACTAACTTATAAGTTATTTTATTAAAATTTAATGTTTGATGAATTTCTAAAAATATTAATTTTAATTTATAAATTAATTTATAAGTTAGCTTTTATTAAATTATCTTTAAAATAACTTTTGTTCAAAAATATTCTAAATATAACTTATAAACTAATTTTTAACAAACAAGCTATAGCTATTATTTATTATTATTATAATTAAAAACCAAATTTTCATTAAAGCTTATTTTTTTCATCTAATCCAAAGTCTAAAAAAACTATTTTAATAAATTTTTTTATCAAATTAAAATTAGCGGAAAAAAGCTTATTTTTTTCATTTAATCTAAAGTCTAAAAAAACCATTTTAATAATTTTTTATCAAATTAAAATTAGCGGAAAAAAATGTAAAAAATTAAAAATCTTGAGTTTAACCCATCTTAAACTATATAAGAAGTGGAAGTAGCGATTGGCGCACTGAGAATAGGAGCGTGTGAGATATAAACACTTATTTTTGGTGCATAGTTATTTAGAGACGATGACGCAACCACATGGACGCGCGTGGGAAGAAATAAATTTGTTGGAAAGGTCACCGTTCCCGTTGTAATTTACTACCCCAATAAACCCTCAACTCCACTCTCCCCACCAGTTCCTCATTTTCATTTTAGGGTTTCTACTTCTGCTTCATCATCGTTCTTAGTTAATTTGGTGAGATAAATTGAAATTCTTGCTATGTTCGTCTTTTTCTTCAAAATTTTACCTTGATTTTCTGCGTCAGATGTTTCTTTTCTAGGCTTTCTGGCCAAATTCTAACGACCCAAAATACGACCCAAAATTTTTTGTTTAAATAATACTAAGGTTATCAACGATTTATAATATATCATAAAATCGTACATCATAAATCCCAAAAAGTTATAATAGATGTGTCATAACAAAAGAACTGTAACAACATAACATAGTATCTGAAATAAACTCCCAGGGCAAAAGCTGAAGTTGTGGTGTGTGCAATGCCATCATCCCGAGCTCTTCCCTTTGATTGCGGAAGTACTTGAAACCAAAACTGAAACTGTAAGCACAAAGCTTCGTGAGCTTCCCCAGACTACCACATACCATACAATAACATATAAACATATATTGGGCCCTGCCTACTGCATCGGACCGAAGTCCGGAAACAGCATCGGACCGAAGTTCGAAACTAACCAGCTCCTTGCCCTCTACATCAGACCGAAGTCCGGAACTGACTGGGACCTTGTCCCTTGCATCGGACCGAAGTTCGAAAACTGACTTAGCATAACATAGCATAGCATAAAGATATCAACTAGCATAAACACATATACTACATGCTGCATCGGACCGGAGTTCGAAACACATAACACAAAGACATGCTTGAATCACAAAGACATCAAGCACACTGAACTACTGCACCGGACCAAAGTCTGGAACTACTGCTAACTAGACGGGCCGGCATTGTGGCCGTACACCCGTTCCTACTGGAAGGAAAACTCACCTCGTAGTGCTGGCTG